TAGTGAATCTTGAAGTAATCTAGTCAGTTTTGAATCTCTATATGGTACATGTAAAGCTCTTTTTGTTTTATCACCAAGAGCAGAAATTACATTACCTAATGCCAACTATAATGCAAAAAATAATTATGATGATTGAAATATTGTGCAAGTTTCTTAAAAAATTATCAACACATTACCAATCCACAATTTATAGATATTCCCTCTTTTGCTCTATCTCCTGTAGCACCAGTTCTTTTCAATCTTTCTGACCCAGCTAAATCTACAAAATGAAATTTTGCAGTTAAAGTTTCAAATTCACTAGTAGGTTCAGAACCACTTGTATCAACATCAGCATCAGGATCTTCAATTTTTATATATCTTTGTTGCTTTATGTACAGGGTAAATATTGCATGTGATCTTGATGATTGGGTATTCATTTGGGTTGATCCAGTTGTACGTGATAATGCTCCTAATCTTAAATACTCTAATGCTTCTTCTGGACTAGTAACAATTCGTGGTTCCACTCCAGCTAAATGAATATTGCCTGAAGGATCTTCATGAATACGAGCACCACCTCTAGGTCCACCAGGTCCTAATAAATCTTTCAAATCCTCATTATATAACTCTAAAAATTGTGCAGTAACCTATTATAACATATAAAGAAAATTATTTATTTAAAAAAAATATATTACAAGATATTACAAGATATTTTATAAGATATTTCAATTTGATATCATTTTGTTAACATAAGTAAAATATAAACTAAAAAATGTGAAATAATATAATATATATTGTGTTAGAAATTAATTTATACAAAGATACTTCTTCTTTTATTAAATTTTTATTTTATAAAATAATACAAACCTTAAATTCTGGAGGCATTTGTGCACGCTCTCTAGCATTATGTTGTTTTTCTATGATACCATCAAATAAATGTTTAATAGCTCTTGGAATAATTCCAACTATAGTTTCATCAACTTCCACATCAAATCCAGTACCCATAGTATATGTTTTTCCAGAGCCAGTTTGTCCATATGCAAGAACAGTTGCATTATATCCATCTAATGCACCTTCTATTAAACGTGCAACACATGTTTCATAAATTGTGCTTTGTCCTACACCAGTATCAAAAACATAATCATATGTAAAGGCCTTGTCAGGTCCAAGAAAGACTTGGGGTTCTCCAAGAGGTACTTGAGTACAAATTCTACACATGTCAATTACTTCACGTGCTACTTGAGGCCTTATTCTGTTAATAATAATAAATTATAAATTTATAATATTATAATTATAATATATATATAATTAATGAAAGATATTTATAAAATTAAATAATGTATATATAAATATGAAATAAAAAAATGAAATCTAATTTTTGTTTTAATATATATATTATGTTCAATTAACGTATTTATTCATATTCATATTATATTATAATTACATTCTAAATGCTAAAATCGATTCTACGCATCAACTGTTATTATGTATCGTACATGAAACTCCCGCGTAATAAAAGAATATGAAGAATTTAAAAAAAAAATTTAAATATATTTAAATAAAAAAAGAAAAAAATAAATAAAAAAATTAAACAATAATAAACAAAAATAAGTTAAATTATAAAGATACAAATTATAAAGATAAAAAAAATAATGCGAAAAACAAAATTCATTCATCACAAATCAAGATATAAGTATTCATTATACAACTAGTAATAAAACCTACGCATTTAATTCTTTAAAAGGAGATATTACATGGTTAAAACATTTGCAATGTAATATTGCATAAAAGAATGCTAACAAAATTTTAATTGTAAAATAATTTGAAAAATGCGAGAAATATAAATGAAAATATATAATCAATAATAGAAAGAAAAAGCAATATTATTTTTATAATTTGTTACATATTTGTTACTAAAATCTAAATTATGTATAATTAATTTTAAAAAAATTATTAAAGAATTACATAGATGTTGACAATTGATTTATATAATTGTTTTACTAATATTTGGAGAAATCTGTAACCATTTTGAAATGCGAAATGGTCTACATAATAAGATTTTCTAAAATCATGAAAGTGTAACATGAATTGATACATTTTATAATTTTTTATTAAACTTACAATGATGAACTTCTAAATTTAAAAAAAAAATATATAATATTAAATAAAATACATCGAGAACAAATATACAATTATATATATTAATTATAAAAATACTAAAATGTACTACAGTCATTAAAAAACTTTTTGAATTCGATTAATACTTCGCGCAAATTTCAAAGTTAAGTTAACTGAATATCATCAATGTGATAAGTTGTCATCGCATAAAATCATTAATGTTAGTTTGACATGTAGTCTAGTCGACACTACAGCGTCTTTTCAAAAAAAATATTTTAATGATTTGATGTTTTAATATAAAAAGTGCACTGGACTTACCGTACGGCAACGCGTACGCTCGTATCATCAGACATTTCGATGTTAAGTATTGTGCAATTCTTTAAGACGTAAAAGCAACAGAACTGAAGAAATCAACGAGAAATTACAATTAGGCTGAACTATTAGGCGACAGTTATAATATTTCAATACACGAATATACTGAATGCGCACGCGTTATTAAATGCGGTGGTTGTGAAAATTCCGCATTTTTCGTCGTGGACGCGCGCATAGATAACCATAAAATCCACTCAAACATGTCTCATAACGAAAGGAAATCTCTATCCTAGTCGCGTCAACTCAAGGATTGTATAGATCCTGAACTGAAATCATACGTGACAGACATCTTTAATTCTTTATGACTTAAAGTGACTATGTGCATCATCTGTTGATGGTTTTAAAAACTACTAATAGCTTTATCAGTTAGAAATTATCGACTGTTTTCTATTCTTTTTTAATTGTTAATTTTTAATTATTAATAAATATATACAAATTAAGTTAATTAAAATATATACGAACATATAATATATATAATATAATTTTTATTCTAATTATTAATACAAAATGTACATGATATGCAATATGTTTTCGTGTTACATGCAACAGGTTACAGATTTTTATTTTATATTTTTTGAACGATTTATTTTTATATATGTATTTAAATTGTAATATCCTATAATATTCTCATTTTTCTTAAAATTGATATTTTAAAAATTGATATTGAAAACAAAATTTTATAACATCGTGTCTCTTTTATATCTGTGTTAAAATTTTTATTTCATCTTATCCTATTTTGATGATATTTTTCATGTACAAAAGATAGTACTGACGATCTGATTCTTATTTGATTTTCTACTATTTATTTTCTTTATGTTAATTTCATTTATAATATTCTGAGAAAGCGCTGATTTCCAAATTATTACCTATCTCTATTTTTTCCCACTAAAATGATAACTTATTTTCTAATGTTGGTATACCTGAACACTTATAGATATAAGATAGCGTTGGTCACTTTTCCGGTTACGATCTTTCAATATAACAAGATGGCTGATCAGGTACGTATGCATTTAATAATAACAATATATATGCTTTTTTCACATTTATTTTCATTATTTATGAAATATAATTGTCCACGAGATTAATTTTATTATCATAATTTATATTATATATGTAAAAGATTGGTTAAAAGATTTTAAAAATTTTGCAAAAAGTTAATAATATAATAGTTGCACGTGGTTAAAATATTTAAATATTCAAACAAAAGTGAATATATTATATGCTTTTAGAGTGAACGTGCATTTCAAAAGCAACCTACGATCTTTCTTAACCGTAAGAAAGGTCTGGGTCCCAAAAGACGGAAGCCTATGAGGTATAGTCGTAATGTAGGTCTTGGTTTTAAAACACCTCGTGAAGTAAGTATACAATTTGTATATAAAGTATACAATTGAAAGATAATATAAATTTAAAGATAAATTTTAATAATACTCAAAAAGTGCATTATAATATTATTTTTAATATTATTTTTTAGGCGCTTGAAGGAACCTACATTGATAAAAAATGTCCATTTACTGGTAACATTTCTATTAGAGGACGCATTCTTACTGGAGTAGTACAAAAGATGAAAATGCAAAGGACCATTGTTATACGTAGGGATTATCTTCATTATATCAGAAAATATAATCGTTTTGAAAAACGTCATCGTAATATGAGTGTTCATCTTAGTCCTTGCTTTAGGTTTGTTTGAATAATTTTAAAAAGTTATTATTAAGATTATATGATGATAATAACGACGGTCTTCTGAAATATAATTTGAAGTAGTTCATTTATTTTCTGAAAAAAAATTGAATTTTATATTTGTGACAAAGTTTCTTTTCTTTTATTATATATTATTATATTAATGTTTATTACAGAGATGTGGAAATTGGTGATGTAGTAACAATTGGTGAATGCAGACCACTTAGCAAGACAGTTAGATTTAATGTTCTGAAGGTTTCAAAAGGAACAGGATCTAAGAAAAGTTTCAAAAAATTTTAAGGTTATAAATATTATAATTTATAATTATTAATAAGATTGATTTTTTTTATAAAGTACTGAAAAAAACAAAATTCTAAAATGATGAAAATAACGACGGTCTTCTGAATTTATCAAAATGAATGACATTATATCGTATTCTGAATATTTCAAAAATATTTCAATATATTTCTAAAAAAAATTCAACATTCTGATTTTATTTTATTTTTTGTGTTACAGAAAACATCAACAATATTAAAAAGAAAAGAAGGAAGTTATATAAATTATCATCTTGACTTGTATCTTTTCATGTTACAAATTAAATAAACATTTCTAAGTAAAATTTTTTATCATTTGTTTTGTAGTTACAAGTAATTTCAAAAAATGATAATTAGTATTTCAAAATATAATAATATTTTGTACATATTATGTATAATATCTTTTACATAAATATAATAAATATTATAAATATAGAAAGGTTATAAAGTAAGTCATAAGTATATATGTTAAAAAATATATTTTTATAAATTTTAACGAGAAAAATATTTTATCAAAACAATTTTTACATTCTAAAGCACTTATTGTCAATTAAGAGACATATTTAATTACAAAAGAGCATATTATATCAATAGAGTGTATAAATTCATCACAATCATCTTATATTATTAATATATATTTTTTTCAATAATATCAATATAAATAAAAATAATTTCATATCGTGTGAATTATCGAAATATTATTAGAAATTAAAATAAGATATATAATATCCATTAACATTTTTATACAAATCTTTATAAATAATTCAACTGCCAATCAGCATATCTTTGGCGATTCCTATTTTTAAATGCTGATATAATTAAAGAAAAATTTATGAATAATTACAAAGGCACTATGTACTGTGCTATTTAATATTATTTCTAATATTTAATTAAAAATTAATGTATATATTTCATTTATACAGTTTAATATATTATACAATTAAATATAAGAAAATAATATCTTATTCATTAAATATCATATATTTTTGCCAATATTAGCAATAATATTCAGATCAAATTTTCAAATTTTTATATAGTCTCATTCATATAAAATATAGCCATCTTTAACTGATTAATATTGCAAGTTTTTATGACTGCTATTATAACTCTTGTACTTATTATATCAGCAATATATATTTTTATTTAAAAAAATAGCTAATGATTATTAACTAAATGATTTTTAGAAGAAAATTCAATTATATAAAGTATATATATAATAGGTCCTGCAAAACCTAATAATAAAGAAAATCCAAGAAGTTGTGTCCATGATAATCCACAATCATCACCAGAACATCTAAATGTTTCTGTTAAATGAGGGTTTTTTGTATTATTCTCTGTTGAGGTAAGTAATTGATCACATTCTGAATTGGTAATTTCTAAAGAATTACTATTGTTGTATGATGATAAAGGTTCACAAACAGAATTTAATATAATTGTATTAATTTCTGCCTTTGGCAATTCAATCACAACAGGATTTTTTATCACATTTAATAATGGATCTGCCATTACTATATTTTCTGTTTTTTCATCAGGAGTAGATATACTTACTTCTCTTCTATCTAATTGATTATTTTTTTGATCATGTTCTAAGGTTTCAGTCAATAAAGAAAATGGTTGTATAGGTACTTTGATGAATCTTCTTGCATGTATTTCATTTTCTTTGTGAATCTTGTTGATTCTCTTCAATTCAGAAATCTAAAAATATAACTTCTCATTCAAATTTATTTTAAATTATTCTTGAATTGATTTTTTTTTTAAACTTTACCGTGCATCTATACCGTAATGCCAATGCTTGTAATGTGTCTTCTGATTTCAGTGGAACATATATAACTTCCACCTTACGTGGCAATGATTTATTACATTGTTGCAGAGAAATAGTTTCTTCATCTCCACTATTTTCATCATCTGAATATAAAAAAACATAATGTGGGGAACCATCCCTCTGATTTCCACGTTGATAAACCATTTGTCTCAAAGAAATCTTTTTGCTATATACACAAATATAATTTTAAAATCACAAAAATATTAATTATTAAAAAATTAATAATTTATTAAAAAAAATTTTGAAAAGAACACATAATTTGAATTATATATATGATCTGTCAAATTATTATTTACGATTATCAAGATTGTCAATTACCTTACACTTTTTTACTTGACACAAATTATCTTTGTTATCTTTTATTATTCTTTATGTGCATTGTTCGAATGTAAATAATATTTCTAAATAGAATTACTAGTTAAATTTTGATAAAATGTAATTCTTTTCACAAGTCACATATGCGTTGTATCTTATAAAATAAAGAGAGGTTAAGGTATCTATTAATTCTATATGATACAATACAACACATTCACATGAAATATTTTCATATTACTGCATATCAAAATGTTTGGATTTCAGGAAGAAGGTGAAACTTTAAAAGATAAATCAAAATGTGCTCATTTACGTGCAAGCTTGAAAATGTGTTTATTGGAAACAGATTGTTGTAAAATAGTAAGTTATGAAATTGTATTATTATAATAATCCTAACCTTTATTTACGATATATTATGTTTATAAATATTCGAAATATAACTTGTAAATAAATTTATTTATTTTATTATAGCAAAGACGAACTCCTAAAGATTGTCTTGTAAACATGGATCCATCTGTTCCTGAAGAATGCTATGCAATACGTCAAACATTTTTTGAATGTAAACATTCAATTGTAAATATTTTATTTAAATAAGTGATATAATACAATAAATAAGTAAGCTAATTTTAATTTATATATTTTAGATTGATGGAAGACGAAGATTTAGAGGACCTAAAGGTTATTAATATTTAATTATTATATATATAGAAAATAAGGCAATAACAATCCATAAGAAGTAATATTAGAAGTGATTTATTAATATTCTGTTATTATTCGTTGTACATAATATAATAAATCCTATCGTAATTGCGAAATATTAATGTATCATACAATCTCATTTTGTTCGATGAAACCTGTCAGGATCCCGCGATCGAATTCGCAGATAGAATTTTATTTCCTGGTACGATCGCAATGTTACCCTGAAGAGGCATTACTCCTACATGGAGCAAAAGTATTTTCATAAACAAACTTGTGCAGACAAAGAATCGTTTTTAATGGTGTTTCTCCTTAAGGACAAAACCAATCAATCACACCTAACATAATCAAATCACGCAGTCACGCGGTTTCTTGTGCCGCGTTCAGTCGCATACGTATTTTTACGAGTGTATCGTTTCAATCGCGATACACGTGAGGATCACAGTAAAATCGCGAGTTTATTTCTCGTTTGTTCGTTCATCTTATATTTAAAGAGCATCTTGTTCCACATTTTTGTTTCAGCGAGTACGAAAGGACGTATTTTAATAAGTTATACGTCGTGGATTCTTAAAAATCTACGTTAATTGATCGCGCCTGCGCAATCATTCTAGCTATTGTCAGTATGCAACAAGCGTATATTGACTATACGTTTTTATTTTTATTTTCTCGTCTTTTGTACTACAATATCAAATTTTTCTACTCGTTCTCTTTCTAAAAATTCTACGGGCACCTAAGAAAGATCTGGTAAAAGCTTTTTCCGTGTCTTTCGATCGATTTATTTATTTTTCCCGGCAAAAAAAGATCTATTCTCCCATCGTTAACGTCAAACAAAGTATAAATTTAAAAGTTAAACGATTGTATCAATTGATTTTGCTATTTTAGATTTGAAATCATAATTCATTCGTGAATCTTATTATTTGCAATCAAAACCCGCGAATATCGATAATCCAGGCAAAGATATGTAATATCAAATATACGAATGCAATTAGTAAAAGATTAGGAGATTATATTTATAAACGGGTATTTTTGATCTGAAAAGGCTCTATCAAGTTGAAATTTTTCTTTTCTAACAGATCTTGAAAAAGAATGTAGCATTCTTAAAGAGTACTTTACTTTTTTTTTTTTTTTTTTTTTTTTTTTT